TCAACAAATTTCAAGAAAGCCAAGCAATCAGCAACACCATTTTTTCTACTACGGAAAACGTTACCACCTCATCGGAACCTGGAACGGAGGCAACAATGATTGGGATAAGTATGACTTCCAATCAAACAGTTGCCGAAGTGGAAGGAGAAGATGAGATGGTCACCCGTCCTTCAACTTTCAACTGGTTTTCTTCGCTGTTGTTCCTCTCCCAAGATAAATAGAAAAAATAAGTTAGCAGCGCTCAAAGATCTAAGGAAATAGGAATTGAAAAATTTTTTTATTATATGTTATCTGAAAATAAAGCGTGGCACGAAAGAGCCTTTACCACCTCATCTTCTCCTTCCACTTCGGCAACTGTTTGATTCGTCATTAACCAATAAAGGATGTTTTCAATAAATAAAATTGAATAGTATTTGTATGGAACCATTCGAACCGCCCCCAAAAAAATAGATATATGTAGCAGATTGTATAGGATTTAATGGAGGCAACGATTTATTTATATTGATAATGCTGATGAACATAATAGTTATCGAGGAAGAGAGACCAAAATGTGAAATAAAAAGTTAAAGGTTTGGATTATAATAAAAAAAGAAACTTTTTTTTTTTTTTTTTTCCTCCAGACATATCTCCCTTCATTTTAGATTTGATTTACCTATTGCATACTTTGCCATCGGAGTAAATCGCTGTTTTTATTTTTAGACAATAAAAAGAAAATTATCTTATCTCTTTTATCAAGTTAAGAATTCCTTGGCGATATTCAAATATCTTAGGTATCTTAGCAACAAAGTCAATTAATTTGGAGCATGTTGAGGGACAAGAAACAGTAAAATGAGTTCTTTTGACATAATAGTCATCAAAGTAAGTTAATGATTCAAAATATAACATCATGTCTAATTTAAATATGTTAGCTGTTAGCTATTCAATCTTAAAAAGTAAAAGATAAAACGAAATACTTACCAAAATATCTGACATAATATTGGCATGGTGTTTCAACATCTTCGGCCTTTTGTATTTTTAATAACTTGATGAACTGTTCTACAAGCTTCTTTTCATCATCGGCTTCTTTTTTATCAGTGCTGTTAAAATTAATACCTCCAGAAAGCTCCACAAACATAGGAGTCACTGTCTTATTTTCTACTACAAATACAACGCCATCCCACTTTATATTGCCTGTGGCACTTGCATTTTTCTCAACCCTATATATTTTGTAAGGTATATAAAAAGAAAGGTATTCCACAACACTTACCATTGCATATCGAGTATGTCATTTCTTGATACAAATAAGTTGTGCAAGATGGGTATAGTAGTCAAAAAGCCTGCATTTCTTTCTAATTGCTTTTGAAGTAATGGGTTGCGTGGACTATCAATCATGTTTAAACTACACGTTTAACATTAGCTGCTGGTATATTTAGCCAATAAATATCAAAATTGTTCAACTTACAAATGGGTACACAAGACTTCAGTAAAATTTAAATCAGCATGAATGATTGGATCGAAAGTATCAATTATCTCTGCGATGTACAACTTGATTGTTTTTCTTAATAGTCTTGTGCTTGGTTCGCAATCATTTATTTTATTTTGTAAGGATGCAAAGGCATCAGATGGTTTTTTTGTGGGTAAATCAGTAGCCTCAGCTAATTGAAGTATTTCTTCATTCATGTATTTTTTGTTGGTGTTTATGTAAATTATTTTTTCATTAAATCTATGTAGACAATGAAGAGAATTAGCTATGTGTTTGAAATAAAAAAGTGTATATAGTTTAATAATGTACGCTTCAAAAGAAACATCTTCATACTCAGAACTATATTCTTTATCATTACTATCATTGGTTTTATCATTGGTATTATCATTGGTATTATCATTGGTATTATCATTGGTATTATCATTGGTATTATCATTGGTATTATCATTGGTATCAACATTTGTAGCAGCATTTTTGCCTTTTTCATTATTATTGGTTACTTTAGATCCTTGAATTTCTGCGGCAACCTAATTTATAAAACTGTTTATATATTCGAAATAGTAGATAATATTTTTGTCCAAAATCTTACATTTAATACTATGGACTCAAAGGAAGCGCAAGCAGCATCATTGGTAGTTTCAATGGCAGTTTTTTGTCTTTTTTTGATTCTTTCTTCATGTTCTGCTTGTTCTCGTTTTCCCCAATATTCATTATATTCTTGGCCAAATTGAGAACCTAGTTTGCCACGACTCTAAAAAAAATGAATTAGCGATTGCTCACATTTAGTATAATAAAATAAATTACGCTGAACTTATTGATGGCGTTGGCTATCGTTAATTTATTTTCGCCATTTGCATTTTGCAATGCCATCTTCATTACATTGTTATAATATAAGTTGGTGCTTTGTTTATCGCGATTAACAAAGTTTGCAAAATCGAAATAATCGTATTTAGGCAACAAATTTTCAGCAGTTGAAATCCAAGTGTTGTAAAACTTTTGCTTTGGTCTTTTAAACATTTTGATAATGAAATAAAGGAATAAAGGAAAGAAGAAAAAATTATTTCAGTCCATGTCTTTTGTATCTTTCTTGTACTCTTCATTGTAAGTGAGACATGTCCATTTGATTGACGGCCTTTGCACCTTTTGAAATAATGGAAAAAACTGGTATTAGCACATTTATATTCATAGAAACTTTTTTTAACAATAGAGTTTCTTGAGGTCAATAGAAAAAAATTACTAGTAGTAGAAAAAAAAACCAACAGTAGAATTATTGTAAACCAGAGGGCTAACACAGAAATATATATCTCAAGAGTCAGAAACGCATACATTTCCTGAGACCTTTTCCAAATCTGTGAGTTAGAAACAACAACGTCTCTCAAAATGCTGCTTTGTTTAGAATTGGTGTAACGAGTCTTGACATTTTGGCTTTGGTGTTTTCTTAACGATATGAATACCCTGCTCGCTCTTATACTTTTTATAAAATTAACCTATTTATTATTACTTACAATGTACAACACAGCTAGATTCTACCATTATCTACCCTTTGGCGAATTCACTTGTGATGAAGAACCTGATACCAGCCAAAACAAGATGGAGCGGCTATTAAATCGTTGTACCAGATGGAAGGTATTCCAGATGATGAAGATGATGGCCATTTTAATACAGCAGTGGCTATGGGAGAAATTGATTTAGAAGCAACGCCTCTACCTAATATGATTTGGACACCAGCTAAGTATAAACCAAAAGATGTTGCTCAATTTATTTCTCTGTTGCAAAACAAAAATTTAAAGGTTTCTAAAGCTGCGAAGGAAGCTGGCAATGGATTAAAAGCTGCTTATAAGTTCAAATCCAGTGGAAAAAAATGGTGGAACAATCTTACCTGGTTACAAACCAGCCTCTGAAATTAAACGTAAAGGAAATAACGTAAAATTGACAGAGGAACACTCACAATATTTAGATACATTTATTGAAAAAGCATCCTACTTGTATTGTGAAAGATGCTACAGAATCCCTTTGTGAGGCTTTTCAAGGCTTAACAATTAACGAGTCCACTGTATATCGTCACATTATTGAAAAACTTGAGTTTACTTTGACTCGTACACAAGCAAGGTTTGTAAACAGAAATTCTAATGATACGCTTGAACAACGTAGGCAATTTATTGAAGATATCGATGCAATGAATGAAGAAAACTTTTACAAAAAAAGATGCACTTTCGTGGATGAAAGTGGGTTCAAGAAAAACATGGTACGTCCTGTGGCGTGGTCTAGGAAGGATGAGCCTGCAGAAGTGGATATAGAAGCAGAAGGAGCTAATCTAAGTATCCTGGGTTGTATGTCAGCCTATGGCTTGATTGCTCTTTCGCAACATATGGAAAAAAATCAATTCAGGCAGACGTTGCAAGTCAATTCAGACACTAAATCAGACACTTCGACTAATTAACATTAATATGGAAAAGCATTATATAAAGGCAAACGAGATAGTCATGAATGAAACTCAGGTTGAATAAACGATCGAAGAAATGGATCTCGATAAAGATCCTGCGTTTACTTATGGCAAATTGTTGTTATTGGCTGATGATAGAACCGTGTCTCAAGAAATGGAAGACGATATTGTTCCTGAGGATGTAACACCTGTGCCTGAGAATAACAACAGTAACAAGGCTCTCTCTTACAAAGCTTATGGCCTTGGTAATATCAAGCAATTCATTCACCTTATGCAGAAAAAGGGTAGTTCTGCTGCGAAGCACGTGAAAGCTTGCTTTATTTTCTGTTCTACTGCATATGAAATAATGAAACAATGGAATTAGAACGATGGAACTGTTATTCCTGTCGGTTGTATGAAGCGGTCCTCCAATAACAACGGGACTCCCAAGACAAATAATGCCAGACCAACACAAAAGCACACACAGTTCCTCATAAATTTGGTTGATCAAAATCTGTGTATTACAGCAACCATGGCAAGAGAGCAGCTTTGTAACATGTTTCAAGGTCTCAGCATATCTGAAAGTGGTTTAAGGAAACTCATGAAAAAGAAAATTAGACCATCCTTGAAAAATTCAAGTATTTATACTATGGAAAGAGCCATTGAGCTTTGTTACAAGATAATAACAAATGGAAAGCGACTGGAATTGATTTTCAAAAGAATTGTGTGTTCATCGAAGAAGCCCGTTTTAATTCTCATCAAATTAGGAGTAGGGCTTGGCCTGTTAAGGGTACTCAAGCACAAGTGTAAGTTCTAACACAAAAGGGTATCCACCTTAGTAGCGTCGAATGTATTTTTCATTTGGGACCATTAACTTTTCCAAAATCGAACCTTTGAAGCCTAATGATGTTGCTAAAATTGAGAAAGAGTTTCCTCTATCTGAAAACAAGAAAAGAAAAGCAAAGACTGATGAATCTTTTAAAACAAAGGTCAAAAAAGGCACAATAGCGTACCATATCATAACTTTTATTCGAAACGTCATGGATAACTACATCATTTACCATTCTCGTTATGTAATAGAAGCCATTCAAAGTCGTGGCTATAGGCCATTATTTTTGTCACCTTACTCACCATTTCTTAATCCAATTGAAGGACGTTGGTCTAAAATTAAAGAAGGAATCCACTCTCCTCATTGGATATTTTAACTCCCATAATTTAAGCAGCTTATAGAAGCGTTGCCACAGAAGATTATCTTGGATGGATCAAGCATGCAGAAGGTTTCTGAGATAGATGCCTCGACAAAGAGTTAAGTCTTGCTTGATTGAATATCTTTATTTTTTTTTCATTTATCTGAATAACTTATTACGTCTGTCTGAATTGATTTTTTCAAATGTCTGAAATAATTTTTTCAATTGTCTGAATACAGTTTTTAAGCTAAAATGAGACGAGTCAAAAAAAATAAGTTAGACACTATAAAATAAATGAGACGCCCGCTAAAAAGATATGAGACAAGTGAATAAAAATAAAAAAAAAGACAATTCTATTTTTTGTAGACACATGCCAAAAACTTGTAGACGAAATAAATTATTGTTCAGAGACTTACCTGTATCATGGGTTAATATAGCGATAACTACAAAGGATTGGTTGTTTTCTTGGTTGGTCTACTAATAGCTGATGAGATCGCCTTTCTTTTGAAGCTAGTAGAAGGAGGTGCGTTGTGTCTGCAAAAGCGCTCTGGTCTTTTTCCGTTTTCACGCAGCCCAAAAAGGATGTGCCTGAAATTTAAAGTGGCCACCATATCACGGTTCCAAAGACGACGACGAGAAATTGTACCAGTCGTGTCCTCCAAACATTGTTGGTTTTTGCACCTAAATAATAAACATAAGAGTTGGGTTTATAAACGCATAAACAAATCACCTTAAAGTGCCATGACATGTTACAGTTGGTTGCTTTTCTCTCTGGAAAGGTCTTGAATTTTGAACTTTTTTGAACTTTTCAAGTTTACCGCTCAGACATGAAGGGAATAAGCTAGATATTTTACACTCATCAAGAAGGCATATCTTGAATCCTTGTTTAGCTAGCATCCTTCTCATTCCAGTACCTCTAATAGGCTCGTGAAACTTGACATTTCCGGTAGACCAGTTGCCAATTATCAGGGTAGCATCATCACCGAGCTTTGTTATCAGATTCCTGGTCAGTCGTTTGTCTGCTTGCTGTCCATTTATAAAGCTGGGAGGTTTCATTTTTCGAAATGGCAGCAAGTTTGCATCTACAGCAGGAATATCTTCATTTGCGTAATACTTACTCAAGACTGGTGTTACTGTTGCTCTTTTCTGGAGGTACTTGGCAAACTTGCCTACATTAACTGTTGAAGATTTGCAATTTGACAATGATACTTCGACAGCTCTGACATTATCAGGCTTCAAGTTCTCCCGGAGCTTCTTGAATTTTCTTGTCTTTGTCTCAATAATTCTTTGATTACTTGTGTATCTGTATGTCCTCCTGTTTTCTATGGTGCTTTCTTCATGCATGCAATATAGCATGTCTCGCCGACCAGGATCTGTCAACACACACTTGCCGATACCAGCCAGTAGCACTTCTTTTTCCAACTTTTCTACATATTTGAAATCTTCTTCATCCACTGCTTTCGTTCTTCTACCAGTACCACTACCGCCTTTCTTCATATTATCATTTTGTTTCAACACAGATACACCAACACCCTCAGTGAACAGCATTCCCCTTAACTTCATTGTTTTTCTTTCATTCTGTGGCTTCATTGCCTTTGCTGCGACATTGAGAACAGAAACCCATATTATTTCTTTGTCCAAATGGCTGGTAATAGGGTTTTTCAAAATTTGCGTGCTTAAGATAAGCGTACCGATAGCCACATAGGGTAAAATGAATGCCCTTTTCAACAGAAAGCAATTAAGCGATTTTCCTTGAAGGATTTCACACATACTTGATAGTTTTTAAAATGCTTTTAAATGCCTCAAGGCATTTACTTTGCAGTCATAATATATCGAGCCTTTCGCAAACTGATAGTTAGGAGGATAAGAGCTAAATATATCATGAGTCATGTCGACATCTTGGGAAGACAGCAGGTCTTTTGGTAAATCGTTTATCTTTCCAGACGAAACATACGATTTGACTTTGTTGCATTGTTCCACGATCGTCTTCACTATAGCCGACGCTTCTTCTTCCGGGCCGCTATTCTTCTTCATTTTGTTTTTTACTGCCTTTATTCGTTCATCCTTTTTCAAGGTCATGTTCAAAAACATGCGTAATTTGTTTCCAAAATGAGAAGAGACACCGCTCAGGTACGCAGTATTTATCTTTGTTACTTCATACGAGGCTATTTGTTGGACATACTTTAAATCCATTGGTTCATAAGAGCAATACTGGAAATACATATCTCGATGACTGTTGATAAGCTCTCGGTGGATCCTTGACCTGGATGATATTTTTGTTTATTTGGCTTGTAGCTTTGAAGAAGTGATAAAAAGGCTTCTCTGTAAAAGTCAATGCTGGCAAAATCCTGCAAGTCAAAGGCAGAGTTATGTTTCAATTCTTGAATGAAGATATACTTCAAAAAAGAGAACGTGTGGGTTACAAGGGTATGAACCTTGGTTACAAGTGTCTTGAGTGGCGAAATATACTGTGGTTTTCATCCTATACCAGTAATGGAGCTTTTAATTGTTATAATCTTTAAAGGTGGTTTCATGAAAAAAAAAAGAAAAAGAAAAAGATGAGTTGACAACTCTACATAGTTGTCAAATTATACTTAAATCCGTATGGCATAGAATGCTAAATAGTATGAATGCCCAGCTGCTTAATTACAAAAAAGATGGTGAGTTGAGATAACTTGTAGATTTTCAAAGACAAAAGACAGGGATAAACAAGTATTTATGAATTTAGATACTTGAAAGGCAATGAAAAGGAGGGCTCTGCTTATACTTTTGGTGCCTGCCTACTGCTTATATATCACTTTATGTTCCTTATTAACTACGCGTAGACTTTATTTTTACCTTTTATGGAAATTATGATCTTCATTCTATAATAACAGTCTACAAGTTTTTGGCATGTGTCTACAAAAAATAGAATTGTCTTTTTTTTTTTATTTTTATTCACTTGTCTCATATCTTTTTAGCGGGCGTCTCATTTATTTTATAGTGTCTAACTTATTTTTTTTGACTCGTCTCATTTTAGCTTAAAGTGTCTGAATACAAATTTTTATTCGTTGGAAAAAAATCCATTTGTCTGAATTTAAAATGCGAGGTAATTAGTGTCCCAATGCAATGATGGAGGCATTAATGTCCTTGATAGAATCGGCTTTGGATTCAACAGACTTCTTTTGGATAGCAGCAAGAGCAACCTTGCGTTGGTAGTAAGCAGCAGACTTGGCCTTACGCTTTTCTTCAAGCTTGGCAACAACATCTTGGTATTTCCAACCGACTTCGTGAGAAATACGACCAATGGTGGTGTACTTGCGGCCAGGCTTAAGACGAAGGACACGAAGGGCGTCAGGAACAACCATGCGCTTGACACGGTCATAAGGAGCAGGAACGCCTTCAAAGAGCTTGATGCGATCCAAGGCAGCAGCACCACGAGCGGTCTTGTGGGGGATCATTCCACGGATGGCCTTGTACAAGATACGAGAAGGAGCACGGAAGTGGAAAGGACCACGACGAGGGTTAACAACACAGCGTTTGTTGAGGTAAGCATGATACTTGACTGGTAATAATTAGGTTATTTTAAGCCACAGGAACAATGAAGCATATAAGCACTTACGCTTGTTACGGAAAAATTCACCAGAAACATTTAATTCTTCGCAACGGACAACGACAACCTTTTGACCGTTGAGAGCTTGCTTTGCGATAATGGAAGCAAGACGGCCGAGCAGATGACCCTTACCATCAATGACAACAACCTAAGACACGCATGTTAGCTTCCGGTTTCGCTTCATCAAGTTAATTTCGAAACAATGTCAACTGCAACGTAATTCTTTTTTTCGTTTGTGTTCTCATTTAAATAAAAAAAAGCTATAGAGTTGCTTTTGTCCTTCAAAAAATTTTTCTGTCATTCTTCACTTTTAACTCTATTATTCATATATGCCGTATTTCATTACAGGCGTATCTTGTTCTCATGACCGCAGTGACATGAGCCGAATAGGCTATCATTAGCTTCATTGTGTACCTTTTCAAAAGTGCTCATAGGTGTTTACTACTGGTTAAAAAAAAAAGAGAGAGAAAGTGTACTCTAGCGGCTTCTAAAACATTAATAAAAAATTTAGGCGAGTGCTACAGACACCTCCTCGGGCACCACTTTGACAATGCCATTCACCTTCATCATAAAGTGGCTTGTTCTGTTCTACAAAGTCTATGCTGTAAAAGATATCAAGATAGTTCTGTATAGATGACAATTAATGAAAAGTTTGTTTTAATAAGAACAGCAGTCTGGAACGAACAAGGCTTCGTTGATTACACTTGAGCTGTCGGTGTAAGCAAGAACGTCTATCATGATACTAGTTCTGAAAGCAGACGATAAAAAGCCACTGTATGTATAACGATTAATCGTCTCTCTCTTTTCGATGTGAAGCAGTTGGATGATTCATGTAAACATCAGTAAGAGCTAGAAAAATGAAAAATAAAAGAATGCACCTTTTATAGGTAATAGTCTAGATGATGTGTCAAGCGACTATTATTGTAACTTTTAGATCATTGAAAACGGGATGAAATACTGATAAGGTAAATGAACTACTAGTCCCAAAATTGAGACACAAACAAACGCAATTAGTAAAACAGTCAATGATATCAAATATTCAAAGTATTAAATATTTGTTGTTGTTAAGCAATCAGTACAAGTTAATAAATTATCAAAGAAGACTTACCTTTCAAGAAGTATTACTGTCATCGACAGTAGGCCAATCTTTGTTTGCAGTAAAGAAAGAAGCGGCATTCATTTTAAATTTATCAGTGTTGGATTGACTGACTTGCGGATCAAATTGAGGAAAGGTTGCATCAAAAAGGAGTGTTGCTAAACCGGAAAGACCAGTTGCCATTGCAGATAAGGTATCTCTTCCTTTTACAGACTTTTTTGCTTGAACAGAGACACAGCTTGGGTTGTCACAGCCAAATGTGCCATTGACTGTTCGTAATCGTCTTGCACCCATTCTTATAAACCGTTTGCACTGGATGAGACAGTTTTTGAAAGCAATAGCTGCACGTTTGGGAGGTATTGTGTTCGTTCGTTATGCATACATAGGTATACAGACTATGCTTCAAAGGCTTCCAATAACCACCGTATCGCATGTATCCTTTGATTCGTGAACCTATACCTAAACCACGATCACCAACAAACATTATAGGTTTTACCTTTCTAGAAAATGTAGCATATCTACGTTCATCTGAGCAAAGTCTATCGGTATATTTGCGTTTTTGTAGCTCATATGCCCTTTTTTGCTTCAGTCGACTTGACAAGTAGTAGAAATTTCGTATAATGTGTTTATGTTCAATATATGTATTATGTAATTCATTTAAATGTTCAAGCTTTCTAGCACTAGTCGTATCAACTTTGCTTAAAAGGACCTCGGCTTCCACCACTTGTCGTCCTATATCAGTAGTGTTTTTAGCAAGTTCAAGCTGTTTTATATATTTTTGTGCACCGTTTTTGTAGTCAACTTCAGATGCATGGACCTTGTATGGCTTCGGTAACTGCATGTATGGGGACATTTGAATAGTAGATTCACTTGTTTCTTGTTCTGAAACGTAATGATTGAGCGTATTAATGTTAATAACAGCACGATCTATTATATCAGCATCAACATTTCTTTCTTCTGACATGTTTTCTAAAGCAAAGCACTTATTATATAGATCAAGGTGGAATTTAAACCTTTTCATATCAAAGCCAACAGTTTCTGTCATAGTGGCATGACCATTATCAGTACCCGAAAATGTAATTTTGCCCAATTTTAATAAGCCATTGTCTATCTTCATATTTTTACTTTGTCGATACACTTAAGTGCATCTTGTGTGATAATATGTATTCTTTGTTCCTCTCTAGTTCTATTGGATGAAGTTGTCAGTTGTTTTCGCTTAAGATAAGTTTTTGTTCTTTCTGTTGATAATTCCTCTTTCATTCTGTGTAATCTTGCATTGAATTCAGCTTTGCGTGTCTTTATCTGTTCTATTCTTTGGTACATCTGGTGGATATGCTCGGTCTCTTGCTGATGTAATGGTTCAGCACGCTTACGGATCCATTTCTTTTTATCTTCATTGATGTTGTTTTGCAAGAGGTAGTACTTGCATTCTTTCAAGACATTTTTCAATCCTGTTTGCAAAAGTGTACTCTATCTTGATGTGCTCTTATTTCGCTGTTGAGGTTACCTGTAAATGGTGAACGGATCTTCGAGCAGGATTTGATGTAACACTAGTGACAGGATATGTCTCGGCAAGAACCGGCTTTTTCAGCGTACCGTTTATATGGACAGTCTTTAAACCAGGCAGCACGTACATGTTGTGAGCAAATTCTAATCCATAGCTGTTACATACATTTTTGATTGCAATCAGATCAAATAAAGAGCCAAACATGGCATCCTTAGACTTTGTGGCTATTTGTCTAGATATTATTGCGTCACCATTAAAATTATAGACAGTCAGAACGCCTTGCTTGGTTTTTGTGCAAAAGAGAGCAAAAAGGGAAGGAGCATCAACTTTCAGAGCGTTTAAATTGCTTGGTACAAGATGCGATGTTGTATTTGCAGTAAACTTGCTATAGCCTGTAGCGTGCAAAATATCATTGGCCATCAAGAAGAAAGGAATTTGATGTGATATTGTGTAAAAGTTTTGTTTTGAGGGCATGTATGGCTTCAAGAAGTTGATAATAAGAACATAAGTTTGTAATTCCTTCGATTCTGCATCGGCAAGCTTATTGCTAACTTCGTCTTCTTCAATATCGTGGCTATCACGCTTAAACAGTATATCTTTGATAACACCTCTTAAGGTCTTCAATCGTCGTCTAGGAATATCATTGCTCATTGAACCAGTTTTTTCTTCTGCTATAGTAGTTTCTTGGTCAACAATGGGATCTGTATCAGCAGCGATTTCCAGTCGCATATCAGTCTCATCTTCGGTTTCAGTGACTGAAATAGTACCAAGAGACGTTATAGCTTCTTTTTCAGCTCTTTATAATGAGAATATGATGAGTAAATGGCATTTATTCAATTCTGTGATATTGCCTCATCTTCAGGTATTTTTTGTATACGTGTTGGCTCTTTCTTCGCATCTCTGCGCTCTTGCTAATCACTCTTGCTTGTTCTCAGCATCATCTTCTGCTTTCTTGAGATAGTGAGTCTGTTACCTACGTTCATAATAAAAAAGCTTTCTTTTTCCATTTCTTGATAACGCTAATCCTTTCATAGGGAATACTTGAGCTTGCATAACGTGTTGTCCTTTTTCTTCCTTTTCTTTATCTGCTTTTACTTTTTGCTTAGCTATAAAGTCCTTGTATCGTTTCTCACGTGTAGGTGCCAAATGTATCTTGAGCAAAGTGTCAATCAGACGATTGAGGTGTTTTACAGATCTACTCTTGGTCGACCACATATTCTTGAAATTTGTCATATATCTGTATAACGCCATCTTCATGATAGAGATGTCAAGACCAAAAGTCTTTAGTGTTGTTCTAGGTAATTTCTTTGAAAATGCACTGTGAAGTGGGTGTTTGTCCAGAGTAGCTTTTGTAACTCCACAGGTCCAAAGTAGTTTGACTGTATTATTTGTAAATGTATCGTAGTAAAAAAAGTATTGAAATCACGAGCTACAGCTCCAGTTGACGTACATTGCAAATCTAAAGGAGGAGGGAGATTAAAGTCGTTATTGTCAAGTTGAAAATTTAAAGGAAGTACGTATCTGATATTTTCACCTGTTGCAGGCTGTAAAACCACTTCACCGTTTCTATCAGTTACAAATATCATTATTTTCAACAGCACCACAAGTCTTTGTATTTGTATGTTATATTCAACAATGTAATCAGTTGCCGAAATTAAAGCTTGGTCCATTGTATTCAAGAAAAAGTCTCAGACATCTTCAGGTAACTCTTGTCTTATCAAAAGAGCCAATGATGGACTACAGGTTCTTAATGCCTCATTTTCTTCGGTTGGCGTTGCTGCTGATACCATTGAACTCGGTGATACGGTGCTGCTTTCGGAAGGAGTACGTGGGCCTTTTCGTCTAACCTCTTCAGTAAGTCGATCATAGCGTGTTGCAACAAAGTCGTTCCAAAGCTGTGAGTTTTTTGTTTTTCTTTTCTTCAAAATCTTTTCAAGCTCGATAGCCTTTGCACCAACTTGTCTTTCAGTGCCAGTTACAGTACTTCTAGAAAGTCGAGTCTGCACAGAAAGAGATGAAGATTAGTTATGATTATGACAGCCTAACTTTTATACCTCATTAAGGCAATTTTCTTTAAGCTGTTGTAAATTGCCGTCTTTGTCGATGCATTTTTCGATCCTTAAAGTAAAAGTATCTTCAAATTGTTGCTGAAGGGCCTCCATCAATTCGTTCTCCCTTTCATTTGTTTCATTTGTTCTTTTTTGTACTGCTTGGCTTGATTTAGCTACGATAGCTTGACTGAATTGAGCTTCATTGCTAGGCCTCTTTCGACCTGTGCACTTCCACTCCGGAGGTTATTGTAACTTTGAAGGATCAAAAAGATCCCTTTGTGGTTTTTTACCCTTCGTAATGCTATTGAAGAATAAAAAATGATAAAAGGAGAGAGAAAGGGAAGACTTATATATTAACAGACTAATCAATCAATCAGCAGAAAAGTTCTTTATTTATCAGCAGGACAGCATAAACAATCAAATAACAGGAATATGTGGGAAATTTCAAGACAAACGCTTGTTTAAATACAAGTGATTTATCCGTTGCACATTTACTTAGTATGCAATGGACTGTTTATTTGTTAGATATGAAAAAATTATTAAATGTAGTAGCAATTGTACAATTGTTGGCTAATTAGAAAAGTGAATGCTTATAGCTAAAGTGAAAACGAAGGATAATAGGGATTTTCTCAGAGTATGTAATAGAAGAGATTGACGGCGGCATCATTTAGTGCTCCATGAAGTCACTGCAGTTCACTTCTAATAAAAATCCATGGTTCTTCTCGCCATAGTGAATATTAAGAACTCTATATTAGAAAATATAAAACGGTTAATTTCAAATGTTCATCATTGTTAATGCATTTGCCTTTGGATCGTCTACTTTACTGTTCTGACATGAATCCTTGTTCCTGGTAAGATAAATATATAGGCTGCCCTGTTTGTACCCAGATGCACAATACCATATTCAATTTTTTGCTAAAGCAATAGATACCTGACCAGGACAACAACACTACTGATAAGCTTTTTTCATTTTTTTACGTTCCTCTAGAACGTCTGAAGTTTGCGTAAACTACATAATATTCCTCATTCATAATCTTGTACTTTCGTTGTCCTTCATGTCAAATTTTATGAATATCCCCTAGTATATAATTCTGCTCCTTAATCTCACTTACTAACCTCGTCAAGGTATTTATATAATGCACTGTTTTACCCGATTTTAACTATGTTTATGTTTACATGAAAAGAAGAATAAAGAAAAACGTACCAGCACTTCAGCAATATGAATAACTATTTATTTTTTTAGGGCAAGACAAAAACATTTCTTCTCTCTTCCTCCTTAGCGGTATACCTGTTGGCGGTTACTTCTGAAGCAGTAACCGATAATCCTGCTTTCGGTTTTCCTTTAATATCGATCCAGCTTGAAACAAATGTTTTGTTTATGAAATTTCATTTAATATTTCATCCAATACACGATCCATAAGCTTATCTCTTACTGAGTGTACTGTAGCTTCATGAAAGTTTTTGATGATGTATTCCATCATACCGATATGATATGTTTGTATCGTTATATTGTTCGGATTCTGCTCAACATTAACTTCTACCCTCATAGACCCACCTTTATCGATCGATATAATCGGCTTTCTGTTGATCGAAAAGTTAATTAATTCTGTTTTAATAATCATTTTTAGTTAACAAAACAAAAGAAATGACTATCAATGACAGTATCTAGCTTATATGGAAGGCTTTGAAGGCTGTACATCTTTTATTTGGCCAATAAGAATCGGAGAGCACAAGATTGAATCACCGTAACTGAAAGTATAAAAAGGAGTAGGCATATTTCTTTACTAAAGTGTGATATTGTTATGAATCAGTGAACATAAAACTTGGCTTTTAAAACAAAGGAGAATAAAAAAGGAATATCGATTATTCTTTGTTAAACAAGCTTTTATCGGAAGAAGAGCAGTACATACGCTCAAATCAAAGGAGATTGCATAGTCGAGCACCAGTTGTTACTATGGAAGGCGCATTTGAAGTTCTTTTGAAGGCATAAAAGTAAAAGATGATATATTTTGAGCCCATCAGAGAAGGTCTTTTTTTGGCTTATTCAGGACAGCTACTTATGAAAGTTTCAATGCTCCATGAATCGTGATGTGGCCTAAAAGCATTGCAATAACATTTATTAGTTACCTGCATTATCTTTTTTAAAGTAGTTCGATGTAGGTAAAAGCTTCGAAGTAATTGCGACCTCCAGGTGCCGTGCTTGATGAGATAATCATTATAATAACTCGAGTATAATCTTACAGTAGAGCATACATTCTACTTTACATTCCTCTATCGCATCTGATAAGAATAACTTATAATAGCAACTATAGTAGCTACTAGTATAACAATATTAATATAAGCATAAATTTTGTAGGGGCGTTTTTACCCAAGTAAACTCTCACACAAACTTAATATAATAATATTCAGCTCTTCTTAATAAAGAATCTAATTCGAAAGTCATCGACTTAATAGCCTTTTTTCAATAACACTAAAGCCGAATACAACAGTCCCTGTTCGCCAAAGTTGTAGCCTCTATCATAAGCATCAAAAACAGGCCGAAGAGTGTTAAGAGCTTCCATATAAATAGGTTCTTGAGGGATTTGTTCCATATCTATAGGTTGCTGCGAAATAGCCTGCTTGAATATCTGCGCTGGTAAAAAGATGTCTTGACGGATGCGGTGCTTGATTTCGTCATCATCCATACCTTGTGCAGACAAATCTCGTCTCAAATCTGCTGTTCGTTGCCGTATGCGAAATAATGCGTTGACGGCACGTCGAAGGTGCTGTCCAAATCTAAGGTGAACGTTGTTGGCGTAA